ACTTAAATTGGTAATCACTGGAGATATTTGGTACTTTTTGATTTTATGTGAGAAACAGATTGTCTTAACAATTTAAATTATTGTGGGCCCAAGTATATGAGGCTCTAACACAGATAATGACAAAAATGAACTGTTATGAGTTAAACTGAAAATAACCACATAACACTGACTAAATTTATCAGCTTTTACTACTTTCATGACTACAGATCATACCAATATAAAAATATCCCACGGCTATGGGTGTATCTCAGTGGTAGAGTATGTGCTTGGCATAAAGGAGGTTCTGGGGATATATGTGTGTATAAAATCTCCCAGAAGGGCAATATAAAGGTGAGAGTAATTTCCTAGAGTTATATGCTGAATATAACTAGCATAGGAGACTAGTTTAATTACATTGCCAGAGAACAGAACTCTGTTCAAAATTATAATGAACGAGATGGGAGTGTGTGAAGGTGATTGAAGTACTCTATATTCATGTAAGAAAAAGAATAATGAAACCCTTTACAAATTGTTTTAAAAGGGGGGGAGAGATAAAAGAGTAATAGAGGGAGTGATTTTGATTAAAGTATATTATATGAATATATGGAAATATAAAAAAACTCCTTTGTATAATTAATATATGCTAATAAAAACTATAATGAGAACAGAAACTGTTTCTGTTCAAAGATGTTCTATCATCCCTCTAACCACATGCTAGTCCTCCATCTACTCATCAATTTACAAACACGCTCTATCTTCTTTTATTTCTGCCTGTGTGGGTACACAAATGACATAAGGCATATATTTTGTTAAATGTTGAAATTTCTATGTATTTTTTCTTTGAATATTGCCCCATTTAGGAAATGTCTGATATTAAGTTAACATTATAAAATATTTCACATGTATAAAGTATAATAGCTTTGCTCTTATAATCTACCAATTCTACTCATTCTTCCAGTATCATTTTTTTTTTGGCAGTGCTGGGTTTGAACTCAAGGCCTGGTACTTGCTAGGCAACTGCTCTACAACTTGAACCATGCCCACAGCCCTTTAGTTAGTTTTGCTTTAGTTATTTTCCAGACAGGGACTCAGCAATTTTGTTCAGGACTGTCCCCAGATAACAATTCCCCTCCCTATGCCTTCTGCAAAGCTGGGATTACGGGTGTGTGGCCCATCTCTCTCCCAGCACCTTTTCAAGAAACAAAAGAAAGGAACAAAACTCAATGTTGGAGGTAGTAAGGACATCTTTAAAAAGCAAAAGTTAATATCGGACAGATAGTTTTACATTACCCTCAAAGATCATCAAATCACTCTATTTTCTCCTCGTTTCATAGCCATTATGTACTTCATTACTGCCAACATGGATCTTTGACAGATGTGTGTGATGGAAACACTTTGCTATGTTATCAATAAACTTCATTCTGTCCAAATTTCCTTTATAGATTTGTCATGCCTGATTCATCTGTTAGAATATAAATTTCTAAATGTATATACTTAGAATCTAGAGATTTGGAATGTAATCTTAGTTGATAAAAACGTGCTATGCGATATCCTCTTGGGAAAAAAAAAACAGTCATATAATGTTTTCTTAAGGTCTCTTTAAGCCTTACTATAGTGTGATTGAATGGGAAGGAGTGTATTTGTGAAATTAATTACCTTTGTATATTATCTAGTACACAAAGTAGGCACTTCACTATTAAGAATCTATTTATCTTTCAAGACTCAGTTCAAGTGGCTCCTCTTTTTAATTTTCCTTGGTCATACTAAATAGAGACAACCTTACATCTTTAAACCTCTACAGAAGTCACTGCACACTATACATGTGAACGTTATATACCATATTGTATTTTAGCTGGTGTTATAACTGCTACCTAATGGTAAGTCCTAGAAAACATACTAATTTCTATAGCCTCTTATAGTGCCTTGTTTTTGTGTCTAATATATTTTTATTGAACTGGCTGAACTATTTTTTAAACATGAACAGAAGAAGCTTTCTACATCAGATTTGTATTTAACTTTGCATTTGTACTTTTTTGGGGAAGGGAGAATAGAAAAGGATTTAGATAAACTAAACAGGTAATAAGGAGACTTTAGGATCTCTGATGCTAAATAACAATAATAATAATAATAATAGTACGTGGGAGCATAAGCTGAGCCAAAAGGATCACTTCTCCAAATCCTACTGCTTAACCTCATATGAAGTACCATAAAGGAATCGGTATTTAGAATGTGAACAGGAAAGAAGTAGGAAGGTGCTGAGTCTTGGATATGGATTCTGGCAGTATAAAGTTCACTTGTGGAAAGCCTCTAAATCTCCCACTTTCATATACTTACACAGAGTATTTGCAACTTTTCATGAAATTTGAGAGGTTAACACCAGAAGTAAAATTCTCTTAACTGTTATCTGCTTAACCAATTTACTGTTACTGTATGCTTATAAGAGCTGGTTGTATTCAACATGTTTGTGTCAATTATACTTACTAATGTAAGCACATGATTTGATTAAATATTATGTGAAAAAGATGAGATGTGAGTATGAAACAAGTGTTGTCTCCATAAAAAACAAGTTGAATGCTTTGGAAAAGTATATACTTTGAGAATTGCGAAAAATACTGTTAACTAGATGAGAAAGACTAGAGGAAATCATAAAAATCTGTAAGGATTATAAAATTACATTGCTCCACAAAAGCCTAGTTTGATACTTATTTAAAGAAATCAAGATTGGAAATGTCTTTAAAGATATGGCTTATGTAAGAAAAAGAACAGGACAAGGAACTTCAATAAGTAGACTCAGATTTAAAAACACAGTAATGACTGTATTACAATAGTGGTAAATAGGTAAAAAGTACATGTTTTTACAATGTGAGGTTATATTCATTATTTTTTATGTTTAGGTCTTTAGTAGAGCCCTTTTTGGACCACTGTACCAATGACCAATCCACACTTCTTTAGGTTAAAAGGCTTCTTTTAAATTTCCCAAGCATCATACTTAAGAAGATCGCACATAAGTTTCACATAAAAACTTCAGTGTTGTCAACAGGCACATGTATTCATATCACACAATTTTATAAATATTTAATAAAAAGTTTACAACAGTCTGAAAACAAAGTTAGACAAAAATCTAATCCTTGTAGCAATGATTTAACATTTTGTGGATGTCTTTCATAAGCTAATGTTTTTCAAAATAAAATATTTTCACTATTATAATCTGTGTCAGAAAAGAGTCCATTACATTATACTGCTACTGACAACCAGAAAAACTAATTTATGTCTCTAAGACAGAACTAAAATATAAAGTATTTGCTTATTTTTCTTTTTGGAATGTATTTATCATGAAGAAATAATTAGAGCAAAATTTAAAAACTGGATTTATAAAGGTCTTTAAAGGCTAATGCTAGGCAACAGGTAGCACAATGTAAAAACAAAAACAAAACAAAAAAAACCCTTAAAATTCAAATTGATCAAATAAAGAGGGCAAAGTTTCTAAAGAGACTTTCAAAAAGGTTTTGTAAAATTTCCTACTTTTGCATATTTTCTAACTACTTCCAATGGGGCAAAATGATTATTTAACCTGTTAGGTCTAACATACTCTAAGCAGGTAATTTAAAATCAATTATAAATCTAAACCATCATAACATACTGGTACTAGTCTGCAAATTATCATATATGCTAACTAAAATATATTAATTTTACCAAATAAATGTTTTTGAATTACTGTTCAAACTTATTTCAAAAAACAAGTTTGAGAGTGATATTTTGCGTGGTATTCTATTTATATTGTTTCATGATTATATTTTTAAATTTATCCACATTCTAGATTCCCTGCTATACACATTCTAAAGCTAGGGGGAGAGACAGATCTAAACAAACAAATAAACAAAAAGGTAAAGATCTACTCTATAGATATTTTTCTATCACATGTTCTTATGATCATGTAGTATGACAAATATACTTTTCCTCTCCTATTAACTCTTATCAACATAGTCTCTACAAGCATTTGGGTTTTTTTCCTCCCAAATAAACAATAGGTTAAGCAGCTTAAAAACAAAAGCTTTCAAATTACTAAAATATTCTTTACTAACTATAAACGAAACATAAGATTCTGCAAGGAATGACTATTAAAATGGATTATTTTGAAGGAAAACTGCTAAAAAATTTTTTCAAAGGCTAGAAAGAAGCACACTAGTAATATTTATTCCATTTTCCCTTAAAATAAAATTTTCATTATGTAGGGAAAAAAGAAAATAAAATGCACATGTTGGAGTGACTAGCCTCTGCTAACTATTAGAAAATCAGTTCTGACACATGAATATAAAGTTGGTACCACTGGCTCTCTAATATATAAACACTTGTTTTCTGAAATGAAACATTTCTCATCCAAAATTATAATCTTAAATAAGTTAAAAATCTGTACATCAAAAAGTATTACATTCACTTTCTATTACTATGTTTACATGTTGGGAATCCTCTAACTGATACAATAACTAAAATTAGCAAAGCAATACTTTAATAAAATACATTTGGGATGCTAAATGTGAAAAAAGAGAAATTACCATATATATAATCCCTATTTTATTGTTTAGTCATGACTAACTTGAAACAGAAACTTCCATTACCAGTAAAGACAAAATGTCCCAACTCCCCATAAAGTTGCAAATTAAACAGAAAGCAGTATGTATTTTGTGCAATGTTACAAATGTTTATGTAAAGGTTTTTTTTAAAAAACATGTACTTAAAAGTGCTATTAAGATAATGGGTGACAAGCTACTTGAGTCCTATTTCTTTTTACCGGTATGTCTTTAAAGATACCGTGATTAAACTTTTGGGTTTTTTTATGTCTGTCCTAAAGACAGTATTTTCCCTGCTTTTTCCAGTGCCTTGGAATTCTAAGGTGTTCTAAAAGCAAAATAAAGAGATAATTATAGAAATAGGCACCTAAATAATTGTCAAACTATTCTATGTTAGGGTTAACAAATAATTAAAACTGAAAGCATCTGATATTATATGAAAGTACATTTTACCTGGAATAGATGAGGTAATGCTTTTAGTGTAAGGCAAAACCAAATTCCCAGCTTGCATGGAAGTAAATCATGCCACTGTGGTTTTATCAACACTCTAAAAGTAGGGAAAAACCCAAACAATAAATCAGCAAAACAGAGAAAATTGGGAAACAAAATTTCTTTTAAAAATTATGAATTATTTTCTGAATGCCTATCTCAACAAAACAAATGAAGAAAGTATTCAGTTGAAATACTTCTGACAGTTAACACTTAATCTGACTTACTCTGTAATGAAATGTAGTAGTCATGACAAATGCTATATATATGTAAGCAAGAGAATCTAGGCTAAGATTTTGGGGAATGGGGCTCCTAATCAAATTATAAATAAATAAAAGCCCTCTTTCTAAGCTGGACTTTTATCACTTCTGCAAAATGAATTCTTAAACCTTGTGCTACAAAAGACTAACTATCTCCAGAGTGCTCCCAAGTGCTGACAACCAGATATGAAGATTGTAGCATAAACAAACCAATACATAAAAATTAATGTCATTTGTAGTTCACTGAGGCATTCCTCACTGAGGCAATCAGAATAAAAGAACAGTCTCTGATCTCCAGCTCACATTGATCTAGCTCATGCCCTGCTGTGTGAACTATGTAAACCCTTTATTTCTTTCTATGAATCAATAGAAGAAATGGTAGTATCTTTTTGAGAGCACTGCATATCACTCCCTGCCTCTCTACTGATTGCCATTCCTGAGTGAAGAGACAGATTCTTCTAGTAATACTTCGTTTCTAAAGTTCAGTATAAAAATTTCAAACTATAAGAATTTATTATTTAAATTATATGAACACTTTATAAAGACAGAAAACCTATGGGAATTTTGCTTAAGATTGAAATTTGTCTTGTAAACTATGGCACATTAGTCTTTTTAAACCTACTACAGATGTAAATGAGAGCATATAGTAAATGGATATACATGCAAAATTGAATTATATTAGACATATTTTTAAAGTTTCAAATTGTATACTTTTCTGTGCTCTCACCTTTCATTTTTTTCTGAAGCACCAAGTTTTGATATATCCACACTTTTGCTGCCTGTCTTTTTTTTCTTTTCTCTCTTTTTTCTACTAAGCAGTTCATCCTTAATATGGAAAGAATTATGGTTATAGGTTATCATTAACATGTACTCTTCAAATGTTATCAAGACTCTTCTGTAAAGGGTAAACACTTTAGAGGAACATTTATGCAAATGTATGTAGGGTCCAACATGATTAAATAAAATCATCAATCTTTCACAATAACTGTTGCCATGGTATCCAGGCCTTAAACACACATGAAGTTCAACACTGTCAGTCATGTGCATCTCATAGCAATCAAAGTTTTCTAAGAAGAGAAACCATTCAACTAACTTTTTCTCATTCATGCAACTTTAACAACATGAGCTAAAAAAGAATGAGTAAAAGATGCTAATTCATGAATAGTGAGAAATACGTTTATCTCTAGCATATAAATAAAAATCCATAGCAGAATAAACCATATCATAGTATATCAGACGAAGAAAAGTGTAGTAAATTAAAGTTTTATAACAAATTTAAGTGCTATATTTTTTTAAAGTAGCATTTTAAAAAAATTCATGGGCTGTTCTTGGCTTAGAAACACTAACTACTGAGTATAAAACTATTAAAATGAGGAGTATATGCAGAAAAATAAAATTTTTCATCACTTGAGAAATAAATGTCTGAAATTCCATATAAAATGAAGGAGGCTAGATCATCTGATTACTTACCAGTTGTTTTTCCAGGTAGATTGACCAAACCACAGCATAATGACCCACTGTGAGAATAATGAATAAGAGTAACGCCAGCTCAGCATTGCTCATTTTTCTCACCCGCCTATAGTAGAATACAGGCTGTCGCCAATCTGGAAGTCCATTGATCAGGATATCATCATACCTACAGTAGCAAATACAACAGTTTTTCAAGGTGACTTTAAGATAAAACAAAAAGCTTTATTTGCACCTATATTTTAGAAAGAAAAGAATTTCTCCCAAACAGATAACATTTATACAGATTACCAGTATTACAATGTCTAGTAAGCTCAAAGAATTTATGTGGCTCCAGTAACTGACAAACTTCAAGAAGGTACATGTGATCTTCTGTTTTTCACATGTACTAATATGATTTCTGGAATGACTTCAACACTAGAGGAGGTACATATGGTCTACCTGTCCACCACAGTATGTAGAAAAATCCCCACCACAGAGGTCAGCAACAAAAGGAGGGCTCTCAGAAGAAGAAAAATAAAGGTCAGAACTATATTACCATGATTCAATTACATAGTAATTCAATTAAATTCAGTGCTTTTATTTCTACCCTTATGCTATGGTGATTCAAGGATGAGATACTTATACACATTATTTTGTCAAAGCTTTTTAATGGAGTAAAAGTCTATAAAATGGACACTTCTTGATTTTGTATTGCTCATATTCCCTCAGAAAACAAAAAATTTCCCAAATTAGAGAGACATGAACACAATGCTTATGTTAGATTCCTCAATAAAACTCTTTATTTATTTGTAAATATTTAAGTAGCAAATTTCTCATTTGGCTTTTGCTAGAATGGAAGAAAAAGCTTTCCTTGTAATTTATTTAAATCACCACTCTAAGAAGTTAATTTAAAACAAAATTTCAGCTGAATTTGAATTTAACTGTCAGTTACTGAGGCAAATACTTCTAAGGTTAAAAATAAGAAGTAACATTTATGATTGTGAAACTCAAAAACGATCACACACAAACACTATGTGTCCAATACACAACCTGTTAATCTTAATTGAACAGACTCATTAAATATTCTAATCACACTATTTCCAGAATTAAACCTTCACTGAAAGGCCTAATTTGGTGCAACACATTGACCAAAATATTTTAATTAAAAATATTCTGAGTTAGTCGCAGGCCTAATTACAGGAACAGAAATAGGGCCTACATTGTCAGGCAGGTCAGTAGAGCTCAGTAGTAGGTTTTTCTCAAGTAAATTGACCGATCTAGGAATAATAGCGCAGCTGCTAAACTGCCAGTCTTGACATGTAAATCAATTTAAATGCAACAACTGCAGTAGCTACTTTGATAGTTATTAAATTGATACCTTGGAGATATGCTAAAAAAAAAAAAAAGGTAGAGGATTTATCATAGGAAACTCCTTTTTTCAGTAGGAAAACACTGGCTATTACTGCAAAATATTTTACTAGTAAATCTAAAAACTGTGACTTTTAAGTCAACTTTGGTTATTAATATTACTATATCAGAATAACCAAATATTGAAGGCAAATGACATAAATTAGTACTAAACTGTTAAAAGGCAAACTTTATTATATAAGAATCAAATTAAAATATGGTTGTGCAGTAGCAGGGCAAGACAAAATCTGATGCTAAATATTCTCCTTTTTCAACATTTATAGCAATTCTTTAATATTAACATCAAGATATAGTAATATGACTTCATAAAAAACTACCATTCCTGCCTTCAAAATTTTATATTTAAATCTATCTTTAAATAACTGGCTCATTTCAAATTAGACATGCTTAAGTAAAATGGCTTCAATTAATAAAATACAAGATTACATTTGAATGAAGTCCAATGAATGTTAAATCCCACATTTATTCTAAATATTTATTCTACTTCGGATTTGTTGAGGGGATAAAAAGGTGAATATAAAAATCATTTTCAACAAATCTCTCCTATGAAATAACCTCACATAAAGAATACAGCTATTAATAAAGAACATCTAGGAAAGTAGAGACAATTCCCTACTAGCATTACTAAGTGCTAAATTTGTTTTGGATCTAAAAAGGATTGGAAGAAAACACAGTTGAACTCATAAACTAAGAATCTCCCATCAAATATTTTATCACCATCATTGCTAAAAATGCTAAGTATTTGTCAATAACTGCTGTTTTTCTATTCCACATGTAAACTGTATTTAGTGTTTAAACTCAAGACAGCAAGACCTCATGCACTGAATGCATTAAACAAAACCAGATATTTACTGACTACATTGACATTCTAAACAACAGTGTGCAAGGATTAAGCTTAGGATCAATGCTCTATTGATTTTACTATCAATGAACATTATGGTTCACATGACTGGCCATTTTAAGGGAAGATAGCTTCTATTATGGTTCACTTTTCAGATATAAGCTGTTAAGATAAAGTATTGCTTTCCTGATGAAACACTGAAAAAACAAATATACTTCTTAAAATACTCAGACACTGTTTTCATAAGCTATTTAAGAAATAACATTTTGTTGACAACATAAAATTTAAAACTGCTTTATTATGCTTTTAAAAAAGTATTTAAGTACGTAACACTGTTAAAATGCTCTGTAACTGAGACTGATATAGTTCTTAACCATGTTAAAAACAGATTAAGACTGTGTAAATGCATAAATGTGCTATAAAACAGAAGCAAACCTCTATGATAAAAATATCACTAATGCAAAGAAAAATCATATAGAATTATAAAAGCATTTTCTTGGAAATTAAAACATTACTTATCAATTCCACACACATAACATTTAGCCTAGTGTATGTTTACTTCATTTGATTTTCTTAAAATGTACATGATAAACATAAAATAATGATTGCATCATCATTGGTGAGTTCCATACTAGAATCTGTAATTCATCAAACATATTTAGAACTAAAAAAAAGTAAATTTAAAAATTTTTAATTATCAGTAGAAAACATTTATGTAAATTTAAAATATTAGCATATTTTAATACTTAAGACAGTAATTAGGTAACTAAAATAGAAAATCTGTATAGCATGAAAATAAATAATTAATTCTAGTACTTGCCAAAATTGTGAATTCCTCAACATGCAAAGCTTTAATTTTTAGCTTCAAAAAATAACAATTTGTATTTGGGCAATCTTTCTAGTAAAAATTCAAACTTTCTACCAAAAATTAATTGTACAGAGTTTATAAACAGGAAACAAGATCTCATGCTTCTTTAAAATTACATATATTTGCCAATAATTGTGATGCACAGCATTTTATATATATTACATGTGTCTTACATCTCCAAATTAAGGGAATATGCTAAAATAAGATTTCTTATGGTCAGATTAATGTTTAGTTTAATCTGAACACATCTATAATCAAATTTACAGTAACTACATAATAGAGTTATGAAAGTTTTAGCAGATTAAGGTAATAACTACATTTTAAACTGTATTTCTAAATAAAACATGCTTTTTATTTAGTAAACAAAATATATTCAACTTTTATAAATGTAGCAAAATAGACAAAAGAAATTTTAAGCTGAACAATTGGATTAGCAAAAGAATACTGGTAAAAATTCGTAACAGACTTTAAACAAGAGTAAATGTTGTTAGTATTACTAATGCACAATCTAGTGTATATATGTCATGACTAGCACTCAGTACTTTAGCTAAAATGCAGGGCACTTGTATAGAAATTTGTGCTAAAACATAGATGGCTGCTGTTTACCAAAATTAGCAAGTTACCTAAAGATTTTAGGAAAGGCTGCTATGCTAGGCTTCCTTAAATTAACTAGGACAACCTGTTATGTTCCATACTACAAACCATGTCTTTGAAAGACTTATATGTGATTGTCATAGCAATGTTGCTCATCAACAAAAAATCTTAACAACCATGGGTCCATCAACTGGTGGTATATCAATATAATGGATATATCATACAATGTAATATCCATACAATGGTATATACACACATTATATATGTGATGGAATATCCATACAGTGGAATATTATTCAGCAGTAAAAAAGAATGAACTACTAGAATTTGCTACAATATGGATGACGTTCAAAAACATTATGCTAATAGAAAGAAGCCAGATGCAAAAGCCTACATACTGCATGATTCTATCTATGTGAAGTTACGGGCACATAAAATAGATCAGTGATTGCCTAGAACTGGGAATCAGAGTGGGGATTACCTGCAAATGAGCTTGAGGAAATTTTCTGAAGTGATGGAAATGTTCAAAACCTGGATTGTGGTGATTCATACACTACTCTGTACATTTATTAAAAATCACTGAATTATACATTTAAAGCAGAATGACTTGGAAGGTATTCAATACTTAAATAAGGCTGTTACAAAAGAAAATTAAAAACTTGTTTTTTTTTTCTGTAAAAAAAAAAGTTACCCAGTTTGCTAATTTATGTCATTGCTATTCTCTTTTCTACCAAACTATAAATAATGCATCTGATTTTAGTGAAAACACAATTATATGGGAAATAAATAGGAAACGTGACCATTTTCCAAATTGTAAATTCCTAGAAAGTTACCCTTTTAAAAGCACTTCTCCAATGAATACTTATGATAAACAATTTTGATAGCAACTAGTATTTTTTAATACCAATATGAGATGATCTTTTTTTTTTAGAAGATAAAGTTGACTGTGCTCTTTTGTTTTTAAGGAATTGTGGACATTAGGTAACTGCCTGCAGAGCCTTTTTTATATGTCTAAATACTCAGAGGTCACCTGGCCTGAAGCACAAGCTTTAAAGAAGCGATTCTCAGCTAGATTAGTTAAGACTTTTGCCTCAAGGAAAGCCAGCTACCAAAGAGTTACTTGTGCCTCAAGGGGTATAAATACTACAGCTGTTTGTGTAACTGTCAGATCATTTTTTTTTTCTACCAACACTCTAAAATAAATGCAGAGAGAACTAATTCTAAAGAGACAATGTTAGATAAGTCTATGTTAATGAAGAAGCGTTTATGTAAGAAGTGATTTGCTCTGAAAAGACAGAAATAATTTCAGTACTTGAAAGAAATTGTTACAACTTCTAAGATAACAACAAGCAAAAAGACAAGCGCTGATGCCAAAGATGTTGGAAGACAAAATAAAGCTATTTTTAAAGACACATTCTTGATGTATGAAACAAAACTAGGCACTCACTGAAAAGAAACCAACTAGAAAATATGCACAGAATGACCAACATCTCTTTCAACACACTTCTAGTACTCTTACAACACTATAGATTATCTCAAACTAGAGGAATGTCTGCTAGGGTACCTGGACCAATGCCAGCCCTTGTTATAAAGCAAAGAATACTTCAAGAGAATATCTTGAATTGCTGCTTTATAATCAGACAAACTAAGGTATTCAAATTAAGCAGTTAAGATGAGAACCAGGAATGCTAGCTAACATTTTAGGATATAGAATAATTATAGCTAATACATTTGAAGAAAGATTCAGAATGTCACATGGCATACTTTTTTGGATTGTCTTTAAGATGTGTTAGTCCCAAAGACAAGATCCAGATCTTCAGGCTGGCTTTATCTAAAGTCTCAAATACCTGGGTTTTTTTAATTTGTTTGTTTGTTTACTGTTTAAAGGATTCTTTTACTATAAAGCAACATTTTCAAATTTTGGATGTGGTCCACTAGTGTCTCAAGAAGTCAATTTAATGGATGATAATTGGCATTGTTTAAGCAAAGAAAGATTAGTTAGTCCAGAATAGGAAAACCAGTCTGTTGTACCTGATGTAAGTATTTTGTCAAACTTTTGTTTCAATTGTGTGTGTATCCCAAGGCATAACATAAAATGTATTTCTTACTCTGCGTCTGACTTTAAAAACTTTGAAGCTCCCACAATTGTGTCTACATTCCATATGTTCTACAGGAGTAGAGGAAAGGGGCCACTCTGCAATCTCCTTGTAAGTCTTTGGCATCAGAAATCACTACATAAATGTATTACCACTCTTCTGAAAGGAGCACAGAGAAGTAGTAGAGCAAGGGGTAGCCTCCACTTTGAGGTTTAACCCTAAATACACAATCACTGGAGCAGAGTAAGGGAAGGGAAGCAGGCAAAAGAAATGAGAAAAGACGATATTTTTCTTTCACTTCAATCTTCTACAGGCTTATTCAAGTTTATTCTCTCGCTCACAAACTGGGTTTTTGAGATTGAGAAAAGCTGGATTTTGAGAGTGAAGAAACAAGAAAGTGTACTAATGTCACTACAGCTAACAGGCTAATTCTAAGCATTTAAGGAAGGTCGGGGAGGAAAGACCACCAAACACAGATAGGAGCTATTACTGACACATGGAAAAGAATGGACACTTGTTTGAAGTCAAGTAGTATTTGTATTTCCCAGGGCATAAATACCCTTGTTAAAAATCTTACCTAATGAAGCAGAACTTACTAACCTTATGATTCACGGTCTTAAAGTCTAAAAGTACTGAATCAACCTAATTAATACTGCTCTAAACATACATTTGTAAAACAACGCATTTCTTGGAAGGAACAAAAAGAAAATACTAACTTAAATAAAATGCTTGAGATTTAGTTCTTTCCTTTTAAAAACTGTGGCATGAAACTTTAATATCTTAATTCAAAAGCACAAATGAACACTCACCTCTGCCTTCGTTCATCATCCTTTAAAACTTCATAAATGGCCACCAACTAAAATAGAAGCATTACTTTAAAATAAAAATACTCTCAACTATAAGAAATCACATAGGAGGATGAAGACTCTATAATGCACATGCAGAAAACCCAATGTCAAAATCTGAATTATAACATTTTATATTTTTGGTAGCACCTTAAGAATTTAAAAAAATGCTTGCTATCTAAATGAATCTTTGTGAAAAAGTACTTTGCACAAAAGTAGTAGTTTTATCTTAAAATATGTTTTGCAAAAGCAAAGGCTACAATTTAGACAAGAAAATTAGGACAATTATGACCCTCCAATAATTTAAGATATTCTAATAACACAAAATGTTGGTCAAAAAAAGTATTTCATAAAAATATGTGGTCTTATTTTTGGACTGCTTAATTTCTAAGTGGAAATGTTCCATATGTAAGTTAATATTTCTACCATAAACATTTATTAACACAACTGTGGCAAAATTATATCATAGCATATTTCACTTACTTGTCTAAACTGAGTTTCTGCATTTTCATCTTTATTCTTGTCTGGATGTAAAGTTAGAGAAAGCTTACGATATGCTTTTCTGATGTCTGCAGATGAAGCATCCTGGATGTGGCAGGGGGAGGGGGAAAATACAAAGCAAACTTTGTCAGAAAAAGAAATTCCCAGAACCTTGTTAAGATCTGAGAAGACAGCCAACCAAGTGCAGGACCCCAGGCAATGTAATTTGAGCAATCAATCTAACAACCAGGCTATGCAGCTAGCCTGACCCACATGACTGAACAATTATTCAATCTAATTTGGTTCTCTTCTTAACTTTTCATTACCATACAGTCATTTAAAGAAGACAGTATTTGGCAAAACTTTTCAAACACTTGCCTTCCTAAAATTTAACCAATAAATCTTTTTCAGTAATTAAGAGATCAAAAAGAAACAAATTAATAATTAATATATTTCTGTGCCTTCAAAGAGAGTCTTTATTTATTTGTGAATCTTAAAGCCAGTTTTTGAATCCCAGGCTTACCATATGTAGCTTCTTTACTGTTATTTATATTGAATTTACCATCTAGCAGCAACCTATGGAGTCTCAATTTCACATGTCAAAAGCTATGCCCAGTCAAAAGCAGTTAAATTTGCATTTATCAAAAAGTTATAATTAGAAATAGTTATGTATATTGTGCTTAAGATTTTTTAGTACTTTAAAGAGTAATTTCAATGTTGTCCAGTTTCCCCAGTCTGGTTTGCAGAACTAATTTGCCCATTATTTTGCATTGCTAGTATAGTTTAAATATATTTAAAAGGTTGCTGTGATTTAGTACTTCAGATTAAGTGGATGCTAAAATTATATTTTATGTAATCTTGTGTGCATAGGTAAAATCAGAAAACTTATTCTACATGGCCAGTGTAAAATGTACAGTAACAAAAAACACACTATCAAAATAGGGCTTAAAACCTTATCTCCACTATGTTTAAAATATATTCCAATAACATACTCTTGAAGCAAAGTGACAGTAAAGTTGCTTACTAAATTTTGTCTCTTCTTGATAGCTACTTGCCAAATTATTCCAAAAAGTACTTCAAATGATCAACAACAACAAAAACATTTACATACCTGGAACTGAACAGTGTTAAAGAAATAGAGCTGAAGAAAGTTAAATGAGACTACAATTAGTTTGTCAAGTTTTCCTTTACAAACCATTATTTTCCTTACCAGTTTTCTGACGCTTGTTGTTTGAGGCTAGTATGTTACTCAACATGTGAATGGTTTTTTGACTATGGAGGGATGAAGAAATATAAATTAGCAGAGTAAATTTGCAAGTAATATGATTATATTTTCCATTCTAATTTGCTTAATGAAATTGATGAGTTCCTTGTATATAGGTAATATGTGGAAGAAAGGAATGATTAATGGAAATATGTGCTGCTGCATCTTTTTGTCAAGTCAAGAGGCCAAGTACCAAATGAATAATCATTCTCTAATTGGGATTATAAATTTAGATTTTATTGAATTGGGACTACATTATAAGAAAATCATTCCAAAAGTAGATGTCTTACAAAATAGTTTATGTGTCTTTTTTCATTACAAAATTAATGCATATTCATCATATAATATCTATGACATACTTAAAAATAAAAATGACTAATAGCCATCCAAGGCATTTCCTTGCTTCCAGTCTTAACCATTCTTATCCCAGTTCTCCAGTTTTCTACCACAGCATATATTGTGGCAGATGGTTTTCCTGTTTCCCTCTTCAGTAGTTTTCAAGTGCCTTCATCAGTTGTGTTTTCCTCTCTTTTTAGCCTTATCTCATCCCATGCTGGCCCATCCTGCTGGTCTCCCAGCTCATTACACTTTAGGATACAGTTTAGCAACCTCTGTTTTCCACCTGTCTACACAGACAGAAAAGTTCTCTCCTGGAGAACTGAACTCTCAGGCTATACACAAACACTGCCTAAATACTTTTCCTCTTCATCCAGGGAGAACAGGTTCACCAACAAGCTCTACTCTAACTGAATATGGCTGAAAAGCTTGGGGATTTACCCACCTAAATTCCTCAGGTATTCTAGACAAGCTGAACCTCAAACTAGATTATGTAGTTATTTAATATTAGGTACTTAATGAATCTTGATATATTTTAGCCATATAACAAACTTATAAGTACAGTTATTATTAGGCTGATTTTCACTGATGACATTAAGTGAGGTAGGGAGATTAAGTAACTCAATGCTTAAAGTCAAGTTCATAGTGTTTGCACATAGGTGAAAATAGAATTCAAACACAGAAAATGTTGCTTTAGAGTCAGATCTCTTTATGTTGGCTACTTAGCTTCAGATATGAATGACTGAATAACTCCACAAGGGGATATAGCTTTGGGAAGGTAGTGAGAATAACACTTACATTAATCTGATAAACTATATGGAACATGTCCACATAACCACAATGTGAATATACCCACGTGAAGTTTTGTTTGTTATTATTGTTGATGATGTTTTGAGTCAGGGTCCCACTATGTTCCCCAGGCTGTCCTCAAACTCCTGGGGCCAAGTGATCCTCCTGCCTCAGTCTCCTGAATAGCTGGAACTACAGGAGAACACCACCACATTAGGCTCCCAATTGAAGTTTTAAAGGCAAAGACCCTGATATGTGTTGGCGTCTCTAAAACATTTTACATCACATTTCTACTAGAGACTTGAATTTTAGAACATTCACCTCCCATATGCAGCAGAACAAACCTATCTCTTTAGCTGATAGGGAATTTTTTTTGACAAGGCTGTGGATGAATTGGCCACCTAATATTATTGATACCAGGAAATCTACCAGAATAATTTGCCAAGATTCTTTTCCTTCTAAATGTGATATGGTTCTTTGCAAGGTAAGTATGAATTATCTTAACATTTAGATAACCTCTAGAAAAGAGTCATATTATCACCAGTAAAAAACTGAGTGTAAAATATGCTTGCCAAAATTGAAACAGTGTGATGAAATGACAGTGAAAATGGCAAGATAGAAAACTCTGAGAGCCTGACCCTCCACATAAAGAGTGAATAACCTGGCAAAAATGTCAGAATCAACTTTACCTGAACTTTGGAAACCAATCAAAATTTACAGCAATCAGGCAAGCATCACAGCTTGGGAAGAAAGTTTGGGGAATAAGATACTTTGGGGTATAGAGCTTTGAAAAGGTCTCAGATCCTTGGGAGCTAAAAGACAATGTGCATGCCCAGACAAGAGAACTTGGTCAGAAAAACTTGAGAAGGCCCTAAATTCTCATCTCTGGCTTTTCAAGTTCTATACAAGCAGCAAGTAAAGGCTAAGAAAGAGTTGTAAACTACCCAGTTGAATATTGAAGGCATGCTCAAAAACACACACATTGCTCACTGGCAAAGTCTACAAGATACATATTTTTTCATCCACCCTCTAGTTCCAAGTATTTAAAGAATCTCTGCAAAATCATTAGCTGACCACTAAGCTAAGCAAACAGATTCCAGTGGCCACACACAGAAAAGAATGGACACTACAAAACTGGAAAAGTCACTAGACAATAGCACCAACCACAACAAGCAATATAAACAAACTCTGGGAGGTGGGAGAATCTAATTGCCATATTGTATATTTAAAATGCCTAGTATTCCACAAAAAATATGAAGCATGCAAAGAAAGCAGGAAGTTTGTTACACACACAGACAGAAAATAAACTAACTGTATATCATGTTATCCAGATAGTGGACCTACTAGACAAAGGCTTTATCTATTTCAATATGCTCAAAGAGCATGTTCAAAAAAACTAAAGAAAAATAGGAGAATGATGTGTCACCAAACTGAGAATGTCAACAAAAAGACAGATATTTTTAAAAGGACCCAAACAGAACTTCTGGACTTCAAAAATACAAACATTGAAATGAAGAATTCACTAAGCAAGACTCAACAGCAGAGTTAAACAGGCTGAAGAATCAATGAATATGAAGACAGGTCAGTTGAGATTAACTTACATGGAGAGCAAAAAGAAAAAAGAATGAAGAAAAGTGAACAGAGCTAAAGGAACTACAGAACATCATTAAGAGTACTAATACACAAATGATGAGAGTTTATGAAGGAGAAAAGAGGCAGAAAAAAAATGCCTGAAGAAAAAGGAACTGAAAACTTCTAAAATATTTTGAAAGACATCAATCTACACACCCAAGAGTCTCAAGAAACTCTAAGTAGGGTAAAAACTAAAAGAACCACCTTAGAAACATGATAATCAAGCTGCAGAAAGTCAAAGACAAAGAGAGAATCCTGATAGGAGTAATTTGTCCTGTGCAAGGATCATAAATAAGATTATCACCTAATCCTCATCAGAAAGTATGGAGGGTAAGAGGTAGCAGAATGACATATTCAAAATGCTAAAAAAAAAAAAAAATCTGTCAACCAAGAAGTCCATATTCAACAAACTATACCCCTTCAAAATGAAAGAAAAATTAAGATATCCCAGTTCAACAATAGAAATGAATTTTCACTGCTAGTAGATAATGCTGCACAAGAAATACTATAGAAAGTACTTCAGGCTGAAAGGAAAAATTACTACAGTAATTCAAATTGACATAAAGATATATTTGTGTCTCTCCAAAATTCATTTTTTTGCAATTAAATCACCAGGGTGATGGTATTACGAGGCAGACACACTGGGAGGTGATAAGAATATGAGAGCTCCACTTTACTCAGAAGGCTCAGTGGCCATCTAAAAGAGGCTCCAGAGAACTTCTCTTTTTTGCCTTTCTACCATGTAAGAAGACAAAGAAGATTCCAGGAACAGACCATCACCAGGCACTGAGTCTGTGGTGCCTTGATCTTAGACTCCCCAGCCTCTAGAACTATAGTTATTAAACGTTTATAAATTATCTAGTGTAAGGCATTTTGTTATAAAAGCCCAAACAGACAAAGACAGCCAACAACATAAAAATCAATATTAATAATTTTGGTTAGTAACTCCAAATTTTTCTGTACGATTTAAAAGATAACTACATAAAGTAATAATTATAAGTCTATGTCTTAAATAAAACAATACTATACATCTATGTCTATGGTACACATGTATGAAGATGTAATCTGTGACAATAACAACATA